CTGGTGATGTTGCCTTCTAGTACATTCAAACCTGTCTATTATGGACAGTCGGGGGACTGAGCCAAACCGTCCTTTATAGACAGGTGGTCTTTATATGGTGATGACCTAATTCAATCATGAATATTGATCAACTTGTCAATGATCGGTATTCTACTGTACTGTCCATCACATTCCTTCATTTGTATTGCTGATTGTACACTGACAAAATGCACAGGCAAAGGTGTCGTGTTTGCAAAAAAAAAAACATGTGCTGAAGACATTGTTGATTCAGAAAGTCAAAAGTACCGGAAATGAACCAAGTTGACTGTACACAGCTTTACAGTTTGTTGCATGCGTTGACGTGTCAAAACTACCCAAAGGAAATGTGTTTTTTTTTTATTTAGAAAGAGGGTCAAAAACTGGAAATATGGTTTATTGAGAATGACCATGAAAATGATCCCTCAGTAAAATGTTTTGCCCATGTTTCTTTATTTTTTCTTGCAGGGTTTTGCTTTCATTAATTTCCATCGGCGTGAAGATGCTGCTCGGGCGATCCAGGGAGTATCAGGATTTGGTTATGATCATCTTATATTGAATGTTGAATGGGCAAAGTAAGTTTTCCAATTTTTACTACTCCTGGCTGTAATAATTTGGAACAGAAGTGAAACTTTTTGAATCCATGTGTATAAGACACTGTTCAATAGTGTTAACAAATGAAATTAGAATATGCAATTAAATGGGATGCCAAAGTGATTGCCAACATTCAAATTACAAATGAACTCGCATGCAGCTTCAAACCATTAGAATTATATAAATCTCCCCTCCAAATAAGATTCAACATTCATTTTGTACCGAATGTCCAATTTGCTTATTTTAGGTTTTGATCCGAAATTATATTTTGTGAAAGGTGGCGAAGGTTGACTTTGACATTCAAGGGTTGAATGAAGAAACAATCTTAAACAACCATGCAATGATTAATATTGCAAACGCTAACACTTTCTTTCATTTCGGCTATCCGTGGAAGCTTCAAGCAAACAAAGAATTTTTGGTATATTCATTGTATCTATTATGTCTCATCTTTTTTTTTTACAGACCCTCTGGAACGTAGATTACCTACCGTAATGCTGAACATAATTGTTATTTTAGTTTATCGTTATGTTGTATCACTTGTAAGTTTAAAGACAATAAATATATTGATACAATTAAATGTTGTAAATAACTTGTACTTTCTGGCCACTGTCTGTTGTAATAATTGCATAGATGCTTTTCAAGGAGAATGTTCACAACGCTCTCAGGATGCTACCACAGATGGGAAATATACATGTTGAAGGCTTGTAATAATATAAGGTTATTACGAGAATACCTTAAAGTATGCACAAAGACAGTACAGCTAGAGTATTGACCATTGCGCAGCGGAGGTCGATGTGCGGTGTACTGTCTGAGTGCATATTTTGAGATATTCTCGTAATAGCCTTATTATTATACATTTTTTCCTTCCAAGGATGCATCATGGGAATGCCGAAATCCAAAACGTTTAAACAGAATCAGCTAACTTCTTTGTGTGGAGTCCGGTCAAACCCCGATGGCAGCCATGTTTGTTTTTATTATTTGAAGATGCTTATGCGCGTAATCTTTCCTTGTATGGTAGGATCAAACTTATGGCGCTACGATGACAGATGTATAATACAGGTCACTGCGATCATGCAGATAACAAATTTACTCTTACTATTAGTGGCAAGTAACTGGCAGAATAAGTGATATTTTAATGATCCACAATAATGTGAAAGCAATTTGATTTAGATGCAATGCGACCGGGTAATAGAGCAAATATGAAATATTGTTGTATTAACCCTTATGTAATCAAGTCAATGTAAAAGTATACAGGATTAAAAGTTTCACAATTCTTATGAGGTGGCTAATGAAATTAAAATATTAGTAATATTGCATTATTAACTCTATGATTGAAGATGTCTCAAAGTTTATCCAAAATGAGCTGAAGATGTCTCAAAGTTCATCCAAAATGAGCTGAAGATGTCTGGCCTATTTTGGGAACCCTGAAATACAACGAAGTAATGTTCTTGTAATTTACATACTAGTATGCTATATTACAGTATCAGTAGTTGTCTTGCATAACATTTTGTAGAAAACAGGTCCAAGTGGAGCGTTTTGTTAAATTAACCACGACCGCAATTATCAGTAACTTGTCCATCTTGTGAACCACGTGTTTAGTACACGTATTAAAACCTAATAACGTGTGTATATTTAGGTTTTTTCAAAAAACTGAATGTATCACCATTAAAAGATCAAGTCACATTCTGCACAGCAGACTGGTATAGCTATGTAAAGTGAACGCAAAGATGCTTGGAAAATTTTGTTTGATTGGCTAGTCAACTCTCTAAACCGAGAGCCGCTTGTTTCTTGACAGGTTTTCAACGTATAAAAACTGAAAATTTAAATATACAATTTGGCTTAGAGTAACGAAAGGTATAACTCGAAACTTATAAAATTGTACATCACAAAAAAAAAGCAGATTGTTGGCATCCTCGCGAATTCCAGTTCCATATGCAGTTACAACATCTGAGTGGACCTCTTCCAAATCCAAGACAAATGGCCAGCCACATAATTTCTTGTATGATAACACATCACCCAAGTACTGATGAACCAGTTGAGAATATTGGATTCAACTTTTTTTCTGCCTTTTCCAGAATCTTTTCACTTCATCATGCCCAGAAGGACTCACAATGATAACTCTTTTGGCTGGATTCTCCCAATTTAACACTCCAATATCCTGAAGTAGACAATAAAAAGGGTTCAAAAACGGGTAGCAAACAAAAGCAACCCGTCTTAACATAAATACATAATTTTCAATGCAATTTTAACCACCTTAAACAGGAATAATAAATAACCCTGCATGAGTCTGACCATAGCACATTCAAAATAAAACACAGCAGACTGGTATAGCTGCATTCTCTTAGCGATCAGTTCCAAAATGGCTACCTGACTAACACATCACCTCCGCGAATAGCCGAAATGAATGGGGAAAGTATTGCTCAGACACGTCACATGTGATCCCTGGTCAATCAGAATTTTATGGTTGCCAGAGGATCTGCTCCTCAAGGTAAGGGGTGCATGGCCATGGCATGAGGGCGCTGCGCCCCTGTTCCCTTGTTTAAAAAAATCCCTGCTAACATACAGTAAGTTTGAAGGTTGATATTTACAACTTAGAATACCATTTTGGTTTTATTCTCAATGTAAATGTGTGTATGCACTATACATTATTATAAAATAAGTCATATTTAAATGATCAAGCATACAATAAATGCAATTTTTAGTGTGGCTCTATTGTAAATGTTCTTCTAATAGAGCAGATATGATAGTATAATACAGATATAGCTAATAGTCTCACCTTTGCATAGTCTCGGAGTACTTCAAAATCATGTTGTGATAGAAACTGATTGTATAAAACACCTGCAATACAAAACAGTAAACTTCATTTTGACTGCCCTATTGATTAGTAACATCAAATTCACAAAATAGTCTGCACTTCAAAAATAGCCAAATTGTTTGAGTAAAAACTAAAAATTTACTAAATTTTTGTCTGTCAGCTACAAAATTAGGGTTCATTTCCAAAAATATTGAAAAATATAAGAGAAAAATTGTGGAAAGACAGTCTGGTGGTGAAAAGGTTAAAACAACATTCACGGGAACAAAAGTCAAATTCTTCACTGCCACATTTTCCAATGTTACTCAATAATTTGTCCTTACAATGCATGTAGTCAATTGAGAAACGAGTTGTTTTATCCTCAGGAAACCACTCTACGGTATATAGCACCACTTCTCCTGCCTGATTATGAAAGCAAATCTATTGGGCCAGGTATATTGTAATTAGGATGAAGATATGAAAACTTACCATCAGTGAAGCTTAATCTATCTCTCTCTAACTCCCATAGTCTGATTTGATCACTGATTGTTGGTGGAATGATTGGTGTCTAGAAATGATAGAAGAATGTATAACAAGCAGACTGACAGCTGATCCATGCTCATCGAGGATAAATTATAAAATTTTGGTGTTTGCATCTTGTCCTTGGTGAAAATTAATTTTAAATTTTTTTTTTCTGTATTTGGATTCTCAAGGCATTTCATATAATAAGCATATGTATAAAAAAAAAAACAGAACGTTGTTGAGGGCGCTTTCTCAA